GCTGTGGCAGGAGAGGACCGAGAGAATGCAGCTTTTCTGGGGAGAAAAAGGGAAGCCATAAACGTGCTCCCCCCCAAGGCTGTCTCATCAATTGCCCTGTGACAAGCTCCTCGCCCCATATGCCAGAAGCCAGATGTTTATTGCTGCAGGGAGATACTCCTCATGTCACACCTGCCGGGTCTTGAAGGACAAAAATAAAAAACAACCCTCCACAAAGATATTTTCACCTTGCACTGCAGAAATTGCCCTATGAAAGGCAGCCTTAGCCCGACTTTTTAGACACGCCTTAAACCTTACCACTGCAAATGCAGGTAAAAGACAGCCCCCCCAGAGTGGTTTTAAGCATCTGTCTCGCAAGTATTTGTGCTTCCCCAAATAAAACTTCACCTCTTGGTTTGCAGCGAGTAAGACCCCAGGAGATGTTCATTCACCTTCTGGGGAGGCAGAGGGGGGACAAGAGCATGTTGGGAAGGGAAGCAGCTTTTTTTTTTTCCTACCTTGGAAGCAGGACACTCACCCGCAGGTCCGACGCCGCCTGCCCCGCCGGGCCGGCCTCGTCCGAGCAGTTCTGCAGCTTGTACATCCAGTAGTGCTTCGCCGTGATGAAAAAATTCCAGGGCAGGAGGGACCCAACGCCCAGGAGGAAGAAGATAACGTAGGCCCCGTGGAAGTGGTCGCTTGGCTTGGGCCGGCTGTACCTGTTCCCCAGGGGCTCCTCGATCAGGGGCTCCTGGTCCGGGGGGACGCTGCCGGCTGCCGGGTGCATCGTGCCGGCACGCTGCAAAAACAACCACCCACCAGGGTGTGATCGCAGCAGGGTTACAAACCGCTGCCCACAGGCTGCTGTGCGTGGGCTCCATCCTCCTGTGGCCCCAGCAAATCATGGGATCGCAGAGTGGTTTGGGTTGGAAGGAGATGACCGGAGGGTCATCTCGTTCCAACGCCCCCGCCACAGGCAGGGAACACCTTCCACTAGACCGGGTTGCTCCAACCTGGCCTGGGACACTTCCAGGGATGGGGCAGCCACAGCTCCTCTGGGCAACCTGTGCACCGCAGTGCTGGATGAGTGAGCTGAACTGGCTCTGCGCGGGGACGGAAAGACACGCGAAAAGCGACTGGGACACACGGCAGGTTCCACCCCGGCAGCACCCGCACGTTTCCGCCCGCAATTAATAATTAACCCGTGCCCTCGGCCTTGCAGGAGCAGGAAACCTCAGTGAGCTCATGAGAGGCTCTAAAAAACACAACCCAAGAGCCGGCGAACCAACAGCGCCGCGGGGGCTCCGCACAGCAAGGTGTAAACTCGGTAGTAACACCGCCGGGCTTTCCGGAGCGACTTGTAAACTACCACGGCATCACCCGGGCTGTGCGGGGCGCCTCGTAAACTAAACGCGACGTCAGCCGGGCTGAGCAAAATGACTCACAGGGACACAACAACGTCACTGGAAAAAGGGCCCGGGGAGGGAGCAGGAGGTTTGGCAGGGGCAGCGGGACCCGCCGAGCGATGGGCACCGACCCCGAGCGGCGGCAGGGAAACCCCCGCCCGGGAGAGGAGCGCAGAGCGCGGGGGAGGCGGAAATGCCGGGGTTTTGCACGAAAGAAAAACAAAAAAGAAAAAAAAAAAGAGCAAAATTTCGGGACCGGGGAACGACGCATCCTGCCTTCCAGCCGCCCACTCCTCCACCCACACATGCATGCATCCCTGCATCCCTCTATCCATCCATCCCCACAGCACTCACGAGGGTCCCGTATGGCCCCACCGCCGCCTCCGGCCCCGCACAGCCCCGCCACGCCCCTTTATGGCTTGACCACGCCCCTCACAGCACGACCACGCCCACTCGTGGATTGGACACGCCCACTCTGGGGTTGGCCACGCCCCAGCTCAGCCGGGGGTGGGGCCCCTCCGTCCTGGCCCCGCCCCCTCAATTCTGTTCTGCGCAGGTGACCCCCACCTGTGTCCAAGCCTGGGATGTCCAGCACAGGAAGGACCTGGAGCTGCTGGAGCGAGGCAGGAGCACCACTGCTCTGGGGGTGTTCACCTGGAGAAGGGAAGGATCCAAGGAGACTTTAGAGCCCCTTCCAGTGCCTGAAGGGGCTCCAGGAGAGCTGGAGAGGGACAGGACAGGGAGAGGGACACGGGGAGTGGCTTCCCGCTGCCAGAGGGCAGGGTTAGATGGGATATTGGGAAGGAATTCTTCCCTGTGAGGGTAGTCAGGCCCTGGCACAGGTTGCCCAGAGGAGCTGTGGCTGTCCCTGGATTCCTGAGAGTATCCAAGGCCAGGTTGGATGGGGCTTGGAGCAACCTGGAATAGTGGAAGGTGTCCCTACCCATGGCAGGTGTTGAAATGAGATGAGCATCTAACCCAAACCATTCTGGGATTCTGTGAAAATCAGTGTTAATCACAGTCTGGCTTGATTTTTTTTTTTGTGCAATGGGGAACATATTGTGTCAGATTTAGGGCTCCTTACCTGAGATCCTGCTTTACTCCCTGTACTTCCTGCAGCACCTCATCAGGATGAATTTCACTGTAAAGTCCTCAATCTTCTTCAAACTACACTTAAACACTCACCTTGAGAGCATGGTGTGACTGGAAAGAAAAACATCATTAGCCCTTCTTTCCCTTTTTCCTTGCCCAAAAATGTGTTTGGCCCCTCAGCAGCCACGCAGGAAAATTATAAGCTGGTGGGGCCCCACTGTAACCATCGGACAGGCTTTGCCAATTCATTTGTATTTGTGTGGGCAAATAAATTAGAGGAGTTTTACATCATCTGTTTCCTGCTCCCAGCTCTTTGCCTTTAGCCTTCCCCTCCTCCAGCCCCTAAGGTAACGATAACCAACCTGTGTCTCTTCCTTGCTTTTTCCTCCACTGAAGGAAAGGAAAAAGCCCTTCTTCCAGCCTTTCTTCATCAAAGCAAAATGCCCTCCGCTTCTCTGCAGAAGACCCCAAAATGGTCTAGTCAGGATTTTTTTCCACCAACATCTGCCTATGGGAAAAACGCAGAGGCACCCAGACATCTCCCAGTAGCACCAGTGCATGCACAGCTGGGCCACCACCCAGCTCCAGCCTGTGAGCCTGCCAGGAGAGCAGGCCAGGTGGCCTTGGCCACCCTGATGTCAAAATAACCCCAGACACACGCAGGCTTTCATGTTTTTTTCCCTCTTTTGTGAGCAAAACAAGCAGAAGCACGCAACCAAACCCACCCACTGGCGACGTGCTGAAATGGAAAGGCTTGAGAGGAGCACAGGGTTTCTCTCCAGAGATTTCTCCTTGGGATTTTCATCCGCATTGACGTGCCAGGCTGGGAAAGCACCTGAGGAGATGGCACGGCCTATCCGAGTCAGTAGCTCATCAGCTCCGAGGGATTTGCCTGATGTTTCTGACCTGCTGCCATCCATCACGTCAAAAAACCCGCTGCTGGAGCAGAGCCTCAGATCACATCAGCACAAGGGACCGTGACAGCCCAGCAGGGAGGGGGGGGGACACAAAGCCAGGTCACGCTGGGCCAGAGCCACCACAGCCCCTCTAGACAACACTACCCACACCCCAGAGACCCTGCACAACAACACAGCCCCCCATACAGGCTGGGGGCAGGTTTTAGGGACGCCCCTGTGCTGCTCTGCTGCTCCTGCATGTCCTCTCTCCTGCAGAATAAATCTGTCAACGCTGAGCAACGGGATGGCTGGTGATTTTGAACCTGTCACGGGCACTGGGGTCAAGGTATCATCTGCAGGGGTTTGGGGCAGCTGAATTCTAAGGGGATCGAGCAAGCTGGGTATTTCCATAGGAGAACAACAGGTGAAATCAGGCACCAGTCGGTCAAAGCTATCTGTGGATTTGGGCCCTTGGAAAGATGGTTTAGTGGAAAAGATGCTCAGGGAAAGCAGCCTGGGAGATGGAGGTTAAAGGAATTCAGATGCAAAGAAAGGGACAAGGGAGAATGGCTTTAAACTGACAACAGGCAGGGTTAGTTTGGATATTAGGAAGAAATTTCTTGGTTGTGCAGGTGGGAAGGCCCTGGCACAGGTTGCCCAGAGAAGCTGTGGCTGCCTCACCCCTGGAAGTGTCCAAGGCCAGGTTGGACAGGGCTTGGAGCAACCTGGGCTTGTGGAAGGTGTCCCTGCCCATGGCAGGGGGGAGGAACAAGATGATCTTTAAGGTCCCTTCCAATCCAGACCGTTCTATCATTCTTTGAAAAGCTTATCCCTCCTGAGAAGGCACTTGCCTCAGCACCCTATCCAGAGCTGGAAAAGCCCAGCTTGGAGGGTTTGGCACTTTTGCGTGGTTACCTTGTAACTGCTGCGCTGTCAGGGCAGCGCTTCCCTCCCCTTTTCTTTCACTGGCTGCAGAATCCCCATGCCTGCCAAGCACCAGGGACAACGTTGCCATCTCCTGGTGGCACCCGGTCCCGACAAGCTGGACGAAGTGAGTGGCCCAGGCAGGCTCAGAAGGACCCTCCTATCCCTCTGCAAACCGTTCTGGCTTCGTTTCCTTGCTGGAATTGAAGCAGGGGAGCAGCGGTAGTCCCTAAGCGAGGCAGGAAGCACAGGGGGATGCTGGAGGGCAGGGACGTCCAAGCTGCAGATTGCAGCTCCGTGCTTCCCCCTTCCCAAATTAGCCACCCTGATCTTAGTCCTTGCTGGAAGGGGCACTGCTTTCTGCAGGATATCCCTTGGGGAAGGGAATGAACTGCTGGAGAAGGTGGCTTGGAGAAGAGGCAAGGCTGTAGCGCTCGGCTCCCGCCTTACAATCACCCATGCAGGTCTAAAACAACCCATCGGTCAATCTCCAGCTCATCTCCATCAGGGACTCCGACAGCAACATCCTCCCACTGGCACGCCTGTGACATCCCAGCCAAAAACAGGTTGTAGGGATGCTCACAGGGATCCCCACACTGCCAGAGCTGAATCCCTGCAGGTGCTGAACCCCTCAGGAACCAGCAGCGAGTGATGAAAAGGAGAGGAGCAGATTGTTTCTTTTTCTTTTTTTTTTTTCTTTTTTTTAATTAGACTAGGAAATATAATTTATTGCATAAAAATTAATTTGTTACAATAGGAATGCTAAACTTTATTTACACTTCTTTAGTTTACAGAATAAACAGACGCGGTTTCAGAGGATGCCACCAGGCCCATCCCCTGGACACATAAATATGAAAACAGACTGCGGAGCAAGAGATGGACACTGCCAGCACAACACGGACCTCAGGGCTGCCCTTGCCAAAAGGCCTGGTGGGAGAAACCCCCTGGGTGTGGAGGGAGGCGTGGAGGGCTCCTGGGAGCTGCACCCATGGAAGAGAGGCACAGGTGCTCGGGGGGGCCGGGGTGGGAGGCAAACCCTGCCTCCCTCCCATCCCACTGCCAACACAGGTTCCCTGGTGTGGAAAATGGGGAGAACCTCCCCAAGCACAGCCGGGCCGGGTGGCTGCTGCCTGCCAAAGGGAAAGGGAAGATGAACGCAGCGGATGGGGATGGAGACAGAGGCACCCGCTGGCGGGACGGATGGATGGACAGATGGACAGACAAACGTGCCGGTGCAGTGATCCATCAACGAGAGACAGCGAGAATGGGAGCGAGAGAGATTCAGAGGCGACCTGAAGGAGCATCTCATCTCACAAGAGAACACCGGGGAACCGAGAAAGGAGCCCTCTAAACCACCAGCAGTTGGTTTGATCCATCAAGTCTTCATTTCTTTCTGAATTTGCTTATTCCTCCTTAGCTCAGAGATGGGGGTCTCAGAAACGCTCAGATGCAAGCTACAGGACGGATATAACCCTTCCCATGTGACACAGGAGCTCGCCCAGCAGCAGTCTTCCCATCTGGCACAGGTGGAAAAGATCCCTTCTCTCCCACAGCCTTGAAAACCCAGCAACAAGCCCAGAGACCCCGAAACGCAACAGGGAGTGGCTCTGCGTGTTCCATCACTGCCCAGAGGAATCCTACTGTGCCCCAGCAATACTGAAAGCTCTCCCCGAGCTGCCCTGTGCAGGTGATGCTCTCCAGGGCTCCCTGAGTGTGCTCCAGTCCCCAGCACACTGTGGGACGACACAGGCACCCCGTGGCACCGGGCCAGGGCTCTGCAGGCAGGACACTGCACGTCACAGCCCAAAGCAGGACCTGCTCCTAATACTTCCACTGACGGAGAATCCAGAGCCTTGCCGTGTGGCCTAGCCTAATCCTGAGCTTACCACCCCCTTCCTATAATTTTTTTTCTTTAAAACAGACAAATTTCTAAGATACAGCACTCGCTGAGTAACTATTTCTATCTGCAGGCAACCTAAATTTTTACCTTCATCAAGACACCGTATCCGTGTGAGGAACCTGGTTCCTGCCTACCCCTTGATTACCTTCCATTCACACCACAACTTCCCCACCGTTATAAAAAGCCTGTTAAAGGGAAAAACAGGAGCTGCAATGAGGGATGGAAACCTGATCGCTGCTCACGATGCCGTCTCTCTCACGTGGAAATGCTCAGCCTGGCTCACAACTTGGGGATGCTGAGGTATCCCTCCCTGAATCCCTGCTGAAATACTGCATCAAAAACCAGGCATGAGCACATGGACCCGAGGTGAGGCCACATCCCAGCGCATGAGCCCCCTGCTCTCCCTGGATCCTTCCCCAAGTCACTCCTCACCTCCCTCTGACCCCCGGGCCCAGGTTTGGAGTGTTCACTGCAACATCCTGCTGGGTTTAAAGCACCCACCACTTTGGCCTCCGGGTCTGGAGGTTGGTGCAGGACCGAAATCTTTGGTTTGTACTGTAGTTAACGCAAATGAAGGCGCAGTCATCCTAAAAAGCTCCCCCAAACAATGCCAGGGAAGAATTCATTAAAAATACCCATATCTGGATGCACACTCCCCACCCTGAACCCCAAGTACAGGGCAGCATCCCTCATCCCTCCTCACAGGTGGAAGGGAGTCCCTCGATCCGCTGGGCACCGCTGCCAGGGAAAGGGGAGTTTGCAAGGAAAAAAAAAAAAACCTTGGGAAGCTGGCCCTGAACCAGAGGGGCAGAGAGGCACTTCACCCTACGGACTCCCCAGGGGTCCCAGGACATGTAAACATGTTTTGCTTGACTTGGATCACACGCTTTTCCCTACAAAAGTGTGTCCATTGAAATCTCTCTCTCTGCCACCCCCACCACAGCAACGCTCTTGCTCTCACGCACCAAAAAAAAAAATTAATAAATCTGCCTTTTTTTTTCTTTTTTTTTTTTTTTAATCTTTTCTTTTTTTAAAAAGGACACATCCAAAGATCTGGATAATAAATTATTTGCGTTTCCTAAGAAACTTTTTTTTTTTTCCTTTTTTTTTCTTTCTTATTTGCCTCGCTAAGCTGCCTGAAGCCTTTGACAGGAGTTAAGCCATTCGCCTGGATTGAACTCGTCTCTTCAACGCAGAAATGCTATTAAAGGAGGAGGAGGGGAACCCAAAAGAAGAAGGAAAAGGAAAGCCCCCATCCCGACTCAAGAAGCCCTAATTCCTCCCCGTGCCATGAGGAGGAGGAAGAGGAACGCTGCGTAACACTTGGATTGCTTGTAAACGCTGAGGGCGGGTCTCTAAGGCTGACAGTGAATGTGGGGAGGGAGCAGGAGCGGTGGCCTCCGCCCTTCCTCGCTCAGGATGGACACGTGTCCCACCCCAGCCGTCGGGGAAGGACCACTCCTCACCCCCCGTTTCGTCCTCCTGGTCCACCAGCCGTGGGAGCATCATCAGCAGTCCCCCTCCGTGGCCATGACCACCAGCATCTCGCTCTTGCCCATCTCCTCTAAGGCACTGGCCAGGGTGTTGAGGTCACCGTCGTCCTGGTGCTCGGCTTCCCATAAGTCCAGGAGCACCCCGGTGGGGCTGGCTTTGGTGGCAAAGTAGTTCAGATACCTGAGGGGCAGAAGCAGAGGAGGACCCAGGTTGGTGTGGTGCCCTTTGGGGGTGGAAGGAGGGAGGATGCCAGAGCAGCAAACCTGTTTGCGACATGAACCGTGGCAAGAATGCCACAACGCAAATGCCAAAGCCCTCGAGATGCCACCTTCGACTTTTACACAGAGCTGGCATTCATGCAAAAGCAATGTAAGCTTTGTTGTGCTGAGAATATCCTCCCTCCCTGCAGTCCTCAGGGTGAACCCAGGCACAAACAGCACAGCCCTGGTCCCAGGGCCATTCCAAGTGACAAGAGACCCAGAGATGAATCTCAGAATGGTTTGGGTTGGAAGGCACCTTCAAGATCATCTCATTCCAACCCCCTGCCATGGGAAGGGACACCTTCCACTAGCCCAGGTTGCTCCAAACTCTGTCCAACCTGGCCTTGGACACTTCCAGGGATGGGGCAGCCACAGCTTGTCTGGGCAACCTGTGCCAGGGCCTGCCCACCCTCACAGGGGAGAATTTATTCCTAATATCTCATTTAAAGCTCTTCTTTTTTAGTTTAAAACTGTATCCATGGATAGAGATGGATATAACTATGCAGAGCTACATCCATATTTATGGGGGTACCTACAGAGCTGGACATAACCTCACTAGGGCCTGCCTGCATCACAGGGAGGAGCACAGAGTGAAGTCCCCCCTTCCTGGGGCACAGCAGTGGAAAACAAAGCACAGGGACACCCACCGGTCCATGGAGAGCTTCTGGGCGAGAAGTCTCCAGTCATTTCCCCTGGAGCTGGGAGCATCCAGGCTGTTGCAGATCTTCTGCCGGATGGAGAGGGGGATTTTGAAGGCGTAGGGTCCCACCTGGGTGGTGGGGGCGGCACCACTGTGGTGGGAGCGGAGGGTGTCGAAGGAGCTGGAGTGCTGCAAGGAGGGGAAGGACAGGGAGAGATGTTGCAGCACAGGGCTGAAACACCCGAGCGTGTCCCCTCGCCGTCCACCCCCCACCCCCCCAGCGCTCACCTCTCCCAGCGTGATGTGCAGCTGGAAGATCTGCCCTTCCCCTTCCACCTGCCGGACGCAGATCTTGCAGGTGAGCTCGGTGGAGGCCTGGCTGTACCTCTCCAGGGTGAAGGTGCAGTGCAGGGCTCGCTGGCTGCCGCTCCAGATGTGATAGAAGGGGATTTCCTGCAGGCCACCAAAGCACGGGCTGAGCCAAGGCTCCAGCAGCTCCCCTGGGAGATCCCACCTCCTCCAGCCACCCCACGAGGGACGAGATGGGACAGCGGCACCCCGCAGTGAGCATCCCACCAAGAAGACCGGAAAACCAGTCCCCTTTCCTCCCCCATCCCTTTGGGAAACAGCTCTGGAGATAAAAAGCAGGGCACCCCCAACCCTGTGGTGCCTGGCTGAAGATGGTGCTGCCCTTCTGGGCCCCCTCAGCCCCTCACCTGGTACTTGGCCAGCAGCTTGCTCCTCCACAGGGCGTGGGGGATGTCGTGGATGGAGAGACGCAGGTTATGGTAGCTGTCCTTGAAGGGCAGGGGCTTGGGCTCCTCCAGCAGGTACCCTCCCAGTGTCCTCTCCAGCTCCAGCACCTCCTGTGGGCAGTGGGACAGGCAGTGTGAGACCCAGGAGAAGGGCAGGGGCTGCTCCTCTGCCCACCTCCATGCCCAAAGCCAGGCATGGAGCGGGAGAGGAGCTGCCAGGAAGATCCAGCAACAGCAACAAGCCATGGAGAGCAGCTTTTGCCACCCCAACAGAACTTGCCAACTCATCTCATGCACCAGCCTCACCTAAAACTTGAATTTTATAATGTGAGCACCCGTAAATGCCTCTGTACTCCTCAGAGAATGCAAAGGTCCAACACAAAGGTCAGGGACTCCTTTGAAGGGTGCCACCCTATTTGTCTTTAACACCATCCCACTATCACACCAGCAGCTTTTAGGAGAAAAAGGCTGGGTGTGAGCCAGGGTGCTGCCTGCATCCACATCCAGAGGCACCACAGAATCCTGACAGGATCCACAGGACAGGTCACAGGGGATCACACAGCCACCCACACCAGTGGTCCCGGTAGCCAAAGCATCGTAACCCCAGCTTCCCATGCTGCACTGGATTGTGTCTATACCACAAAACACTCCCAAGGAGGGGAGAGACACAAATCCATGCAGGAATGAAGAGGACCTGTAGAAAACTGAGGTAAATCACAGCTTTCTGTGCAGCAGAGAGAAAACCCACCCACGGGCAGCCCAGCCTCTCATGGAATGCCTGCAGGGAAGGGTTCCAGCAGAGGAGACGAGCAACACCCTCCTTGTTTCCTCCGGAGAGGGTGGGAAGGACAGGGAAAGCAGTAAACACCTTATTATTTCACTGTGGCCACTTTGCAGGCAGTTGCATCAGTTTTTCTGCTCCCTGGGGCCAGGCCAACTGGAGAGGCACCAGGCAGCATCTTGCTGCCAGCACAAACAGCTTTGGGAAGGTGATATTTACCTTCAGAGCATCTGGCGTGTCCTCCAAGCAGTAGACCTTGAGGCTGTACTCCAGGGAGGTGCAAACCATGGGGGCAAAGATGGCCAGCTGGAGCCTCTTGATGGCTGACCTGGAGTAGGACTCTCCCACGAAGACGTAGGTGCCCAGCTGGTCTAGCAAGATGTGGCAGGACTTGGCTTCCAGCTGGCAGTAGCAGGGAGTGTTGAGGGTCTCCTCATCCAGGGTCACAACTTCCTGCAGATGGGACAGCAAGGCTGGGGGTCAGCCCGTGGTCCCGAGGGCTTGTGTCCCTCAACGCTGACGGTCTCTGGTGGCCGCTGGGCTGGGTTCCCACCTTACCTCCCAGTTTCCCTGGTGGGACTGCGTTTTCAGCTGGTAGATCCAATCCGAGGAGCCGACGTCGGCGCAGTGGGGAATGGTCAGGACGACGGGGCGGCACAGGAGCAAGCCAGTGGGTCCACAGGTCACTGCCGGGCTCAGCACCGTCTGCGTGCCCTCGGAGGGCAGGCTGGGGAGGGAGAGGGGACACTGGTTGGAAGGGGAACTCCACGGTGGCCAACAAGGAGGGGACGTGCGGGTGGCATGGGGGTGACTTACAGGGCACTCTCCGCCTTGTTGAGGACCAGGTACATCTCGTAGAACTTCCCCTGGGGGATGGCCCCGTGGGGCACCAGCAGGCTCACCCCTGGAGTGGAGCACATACAGGTGTTGTTAGTCACAAAAAGAGGGAGAAACCACCTTCCCTTCCCCCAGACACCCAGCACCAGGACAGCAGGGAGCTAGGGCAGCCCAGAGAGAAACACCTCCAGATAAGAAAATCGTGAAACGTTTTGGGTTGGAAGGGACCTTTAAGATCATTTTGTTCCAACCCCATTGCCACAGGCAGGAAAACCTTTCACTAGATGAGGTTGCTCAGAGCCCCATCCAGCCTGGCCTTGGACACTTCCAGGGATGGGGCAGCCACAGCTTCTCTGGGATGGCCCACAGCCACACCACTTGCAGGGATGAACCAGGCCACTGCGTGAGGATGAAAATCCTAATCTTTGGATCTTTTTGCAAGGTGCTGGTCCTGGATCAATGGCAGGGAAAGGCCAAGTGAAACCCAAGGAGGCTGTGACTTCCAGCCTGAGACTCCTGGCTTGTGAATGGCTTTCTGCCTTTCTTCCCTGAGCCAGCTTTGGGACTTCAAGAGGCTGCTCACAGCAGGCAAGTTTTCTGGGACAAGAGCAACTCCTTGATCGTTCAGCAGCCAAACAGTCCCTCCTCCCAGCCCCGGGGCTTACCAGTGCCTGGCACGGTGAGCCTTCCCCCCAGGTAGCCAAACGTGCCGCTGGCGCTGTAGCCGTGCTCCCGGGGCAAGCCCAGGAGGTGCTGGGAGCCCAGGGCTTTGCTCCTCACGTTCCCAAAGTGCCCCTCCCTGGCGGCGTCCCCCGGGTAGGTGCCGGTGGCGGGGACTCCCCCCAGCAGGTCCGTGCCGTCGTGCAGCCCCGGCGAGGAGGAGGCGGTGGAGGAGTTGTACACCTTGATCTTGAGGTTGGGCAGGGGGTCCAGCAGGGGCGAGTTGGTCATGGGGATCTTGTCGGAGGAGTCCTGCAGGGCGTACATGGGGCCGCGGTACAGCCCCGCGCTGGCCGTCAGGTCCGGCTGCATCGAGGGGTGCAGCAGCTGGGGGTTGTCTGGGGGAGCAGGAAACACAGGTGGGATGAAGACGGCCGAGGAAACAAGAGGTTGGGAAAGTGCTGCTTGAGGGGAGGAGATCACAGAATCCTAAAATGGTTTGGGTTGCAAGGGACCTTCAGGATTGCTTAGTTCCAACCCCCCTGACACGGGCAGGGACGCCTTCCACTAGACCAGGCCGCTCAAAGCTTTGCACTGATTCCCCCCCCCCCATCACGGAGCCCTCAGCCCTCAGAAATCAGCACAGTCCCCCAGGAAAACACGGCTGTGGCTCTCACCGTGCCGGGAGGTCTTGAAGTTGACAGGGTGGAATCCTCCGGTGAGAGCGGCCGACGAGTCCGTGATGTCCGTGTCGAAATCCCGGCATCTCCTCCGGTACACCACCACCCCCACAGCCATGAGGATCACGATGAAGACGAAAATGGCCACCACCAGCCCGGCGTACAGGGCCACGTCGCCTGTGGCCTCCAGCACTGGGAGGGATTAAAGAAGCGAAGGTGAGAAAAGGAGCACGAGAAATGCCCGCCATGACCCACCAGCGCTCCCCAAACCCTACCACCGACTCAGGCAGGAAGGGGAAGATGCGTACTGGGCCTGCTGGGAAGGCTGGCAGGAGGATGGAGAGTGTTTTCTAAGAGCAAGAAGTCAAGAGCGATGCTAGAGGATGAGATGGAGGTGAAGCCCTCAGACCTTTAGAAGACACCTGGCCACAGCTCATGCCAACTTCACCTGAGCACCAAGGACCCCAGAAACATTAGATCTGTGCAGCTCAGGTTCATGATCAGCCCTCACATCCTAACAGAGACCAACCCTGAGGAGTACACAGGAGTTTTGGGGCGGGCTTTAGTTCCTCCCTCTTCCCACCCTGTCCTTGCCCAGCTGCTGAGGAGCCCAACCGCAAGATGCAACAGAGCAAAACCAAAGAAACAAAGAGGAAAAAAAATGGCCATGAAATGAGCACTTACGGTGGCTTTTGGGTTCGCTTAGAACTCTTTTATCTGTTAGGAAAACAAAGTTAGAAAAAAAAAAATGGTGAAGGTGATGATGGGCATGAGATGAAGCAGAAAGTGGGGGGAAGCCAGCCTGGGGGCATGGGAGATCAGCACTGTTCCCCGGGGCGTGCCAAAAGCCAGGCAGAAGCACAGTGACAAGGGCATCTCCATGCCCAGCCAGGCCCTGGAACGTGTGCCCCTGTCTAACGGGACTTGGGAAATATCTGGCCATGGCAGCATTAAAGGGGACAGTGGTGTCACACAGCAGCAGGTGGCAGCATTGGCTGCCTGCAGCGTGCCCACTCACAGCACAGCAGCACCATTATCTTCATCATTGCTTTGCTCACCTAAACACCCAGCTCCAGAGCTCCTACCCAGCAACGAGCCCAGGGCAAGGTGTTATCACGGTGGGGCTGAGAAACCCCTTCTGCTCTGCCCCCACTAACCACAACCAGCCTTACATCAGCCGAGACCCCAAACCTAGAGGGGGGCCAGGCGTCTCAATGCCACTGGGACATTTAGATCCCACCAAAAAAATCCCCAGTATTTCTTTCCTCCAGGTGAGAACCGGAGGATGAGTCTACCTGAAAACACCTTGTTAAGGACACAAAGCCTGCCTGAAAACACCTTGTTCCACCCCAGGTGCCAGTGGTGCCACTCCGCCGGCTTGGAGGCGCAGCCAGCAACAGCGCGGCCGAGCGCCGGAGCAGCACGGCCAGCGGCACCCTGCGCCTGTGCCCGCCTGCCCAGGTACTCACTCTGCAGGCAGAGCCCGTCAGTGCAGTTTTTGGAGTCCAGGAGCCCCCCGCTGCAGTCCTTGCCGCCGTTGCGGGGGGCCGGGGCGGCGCACTCGCGGCTGCGCCAGTGCGTGCACTCGGTGCTGCACGCTGACCACTTGCTCCACTCCGTCCACGCGCCGTCCACTGCGGGACAACCAACACGGGAGCGTCAGTAAAAGCCCCAGCATGGCCCCAATGGGCTCGTTCCCCAGCGCTGGGATGGTGCCGGCAGCACAAAGGGGCTTCCCCTGGGGAGTGTTATCCCAGCGCATCCAGCCCTGCTGCTGATCTGGGGAGGGCAGCTGTGTCCCTGCAGACACCCCCAGCCCTTTGAGACTAAAATAGGGTAGAATCATGGAACGGTTTGGGTTGGAAGAGACATTAAAGATCATCTCTTTCCAACTCACTGCCGTGGGCAGGGGCACCTTCCACTAGCCCAGGTTGCTCCAAGCCCTGTCCAACCTGGCCTTGGACACTTCCAGGGATGGGGCAGCCACAGCTTCTCTGGGCAACCTGTGCCAGGGCCTCGCTACCCTCATAGGCAAGAATTCCTTCCCAATATTTAATCTAAACCAACTCTCTGTCAGTGGGAAGCCATTCCCCCTTGCCCTGTCACTCCAGGCCCTTTTAAATAGTCTGTATCTTCCCAATTGGCCCCTTCAGGCACTGGAAGGCCACAATTAGGTCCCCTCAAGGCATCCTCTTTTCCAGGCTGAACAGTCCCAGCTCTCCCAGCCTTTCCTCACAGGAGAGGTGCTCCCTTCCTCTGATCATCCTCGCTCCAAGAGGTCAATGTCCTTCCTGTGCCAGGGACCCCGGAGCTGGATGCAGTACTCCAGACTGGGTCTCCTGCACCCCTGACTCCTTGGGATGCGCTGGGAGCAGAGCTGGGCCATTCCACCTGGGGCATGGGCCGTGTGGACACGCCAGGTTGCGAACCTGCCTTACCTGGGCAGAGGGTGGTGCAGGTGATTTTCTGGAAAGGCTGCCCGTCGCAGAAGGAGCCGCCGTTCAGCGGCGCGGGGTTGGTGCAGGTCCGGGTGCGCTTCTGCCAGCCCCGGCCACAGCGGTTGTTGCAGGGAGACCACTCAGACCAGGTGGACCAGCCACCATTCACTGCAGGAGGAGATGGACAGCACTAGCACCAGAGCCCAGTTCAGCAGGGACGGCAGCTAAGCTCCTTACATCTGTGACCCCCTCGTACAGCTCCCTCTCAAGAAAAGCAAATCACAAGACTCCTTATCGTGTATCCCACCTCATGCCCAAGGTGCTCAAGCCTTTGGTTGAGCCCTTTGGGACAAAGCTTTAGTCCTTTTTCCACTTGGCAAATATTTTTGTGCCTGGACCCAAGGAGACCTTTGGTTTCGTAGCCAAGTTCAGCCAAACGCAGCTTTTCAGCTGCTTTGAGAGTCCAAGCAATCCGGCTGGGTCCAGCCTCCATCCACCTTCCTACCCAACAGAAAAGGCTTGGAAAAACCTCCATCCCTACACCTCAGAACCTCCCCTAACAGGCTGTGCAAGCTACAAGAGGCTCCTGCTCTGCAGACATCCCTAATTTCATGCACTAATTTAATTAACTCCTACCACTCCCAGAAAAGTGCCCGTGTTCCCCCGGCCTGGGGGGAAAGGCCCCCTCCCCGGAGCGAGGGCCGGTACCGTAGACGATGACAGCGGCCGTGGTGCTCCGGCGCTTGGCCACGATGTTCTTGGCCATGCAGGTGTAATTAGCGGTGTCCAGGAGCCGAGCCTGCTTGATGATGAGGTTGTGGTCGATGGTGATCAGGAAGTTGGTGTCCTGGGAGGGGTCGATGACGTCCTCGTTCCTCAGCCACTCCACCTGGCAATGAAGGAAGGGGTCAGTGAGGATGATGACTGAGCCATTACTGAGACCACCGATGTCCTCAGCGCCTCGACCACTGACTGGCCAGCCTTGCCTCTAACTGTATTTATTTCTCCTTAAAAACTTAAAAGTCTGGGGCACATTACTGCTGTCTGGGCCAAGGATGTGGCTACCACCAATGCACAGTTCCCAAGGGCTGGCGGAGCTCTGGGCATGGAAAGCTCCACCAGCTTGGCAGGGAAACCCATCCATGCTGACTTTCCCAGCCGCCCTCTGCTCCCACTGGTGACTGCTCCCCTTCAGCCAACTCATTGGGCTAAAGATTTTCCCTCTCAAAGGGGTTAAGGGCACCTCAGGAAGGGTGAGGGAGGTGCTCTGAGCAGGCTCTGAGGTTACATGTGTTACTAGATGTCACAGTAACAGATCCACTGCCCAAAATAAACCTCTCTGCTGCACAGTGAGAGCTGAGGGTCTCGGCACGAGGCCATCCATCACGGCCACCAGCCACGTGCAAGGACGTGCCCTGGGAAGGGAGGGGACACCCCAGCCACCAGGGTGGCATTCCTTGAGGCTGTGGAGCCGCTCACCTCAGCCTGTGGGACTCCCTCGGGCGGGCGGCACTGCAGCAGGACCTCCTGTTCCAGCGGGACCTCCTTGCCCAGCGGCTCCTGGTCAAAGTTCTTTCGTAGGTCTGGGAGGGAAAGGAAAAGCCAGGGGTTACCAGCCCTGCTGCAGGAGCAGGGCATTCTCCAGTACTTTGGTGGGCGCCTCAGCACCAAGCGCCCACGAGTCAGGAAATCCCTCTGGCATAGCACAGCCAGAGCAAAACGTGTCCTGAGAGGAAGGAGCTGGAGAATCATGTTTTCCAGGATGGATTTGGGCAGCACATGGTGCTCAAGGACAGTATCTGTCCTCCTTCACGTTGTTGCAAGCTTATACCCCATCCTGTCATGTCCTTTTGGGACTAAACCTCAGCCTGACCACTGTTTCTTCATCCCTCCCATTTCCTTCCCCCTCTGGACCTTGCTCCAGGACCCTCTTCTCATGAAGGGGGAAAATGAGATTTGCACAACAGTTCAGCTCCCACATCAGTGCTGAAGAGAACTCCCAGATTTCAGGGCTAAGGGGGTTTGTTGCTCAGCTCTGCCCTAGTTGGTCCTGGCCAGGCCACACTCCCAGACTTGCTGGAAATGTGGTCATTGCACTCCAGTGGGGAATGGCTGCAGAGGAAAAGCCAGGCTTGCTCAGAAAGGGGCTGGACAGTGTTTTGGGGAAGGAGAGAAATGACCAGCAGAGCCCCTCAGGATGTGGGGGACATGGCTGTGTCCTGCTCCAGAGCCTTGGAAGGAGCGGGAGCATCACTAGATGGTGCTGCAATCCTCTGCTACAGCTCCAGCCCTCTCGTGCAGCTCCCAAACCCTCACTTTATCTCATCTGCTCTGAAAAAACACCATGTGTTCAAGGCCAGGTTGGATGTGACTTTGAGCAGCCTGGTCTAGTGAAAGGTGTCCCTGCCCATGGCAGGGGGGGTTGGAATGAGATGAGTTTTAAGGCCCCTTCTAACCCAAACCATCCCATGATTCTCTGATCCCGTGATTTTCCCTGTTCAGACTAAACCCTTCAGCCGATTCATCAGCCCTCTCTGTTTTGGATAACACGTGGGATTATTAGCCCTCTAATAGCAAAAATCCATTTGGGGCTGGGGAATCCTGGCTGTTCTCCCACGGCTTTGCCATCTCATTTGCTACTCGAGCAAACTGGGGCGGGAACGGCCCGATTAACCCGCCCTTAGTCAGGCTGACACCCCCAAACAGCGGCTCAGAGAAGTGACATATGACAGCAGGGACTTCGGGGACACTGAGCCGCTGATTCAGGCAGAGCGTGCAAGGTGCTATCCTTGGGTTATTAGGGATAATAAAGCACTGGGAAGAGCTGAGCTGACGGGCACTGCGGCATTAACCCAGGTAGCGCCACGGCCTCTCGCCCAGGCACGGAGGGACGGCGTCGCTCAGAAGCAAAGCTGGAGCTGGGATGAGGAGCGAAGACCAGGGCCATCCCAGCAAGGATAGGTCACTCCTGAGCGATCAATAGGCAATTTCAACAGGGGGCCAGCTTTTGGAGACGGGCAACCCCGCGGGAGCAGGCGCGGCGCGTCCCGGGCACTTACACGCTATGCGGACGTAGGCGCGGCGGCTCTTGGTGGTGCCCGCCGAGCTCCAGGCCACGCACTGGCACCAGTAATCCTCCAAGCCAAAGAGCTCCTCCACCTGCTGCCGGGACACCTCGATCTGCACCTCCCGCACCAGCATCCCTGGAAGGGGAGAGAGGGACGGCATCAGCTCAGCAGGAGCATCCGGGAGGAGGGGAACCCGAGGCAGCACCCGAGAGGGATGGTGGAGGTGCAGAGGTTGGGGACAGGGGCATCTCATCTGGGGATGGCACCTCTGCACATCAGGGACACTGTTCCCTCCAGAGGATGACTTGGATTTGCAGCCAGGACAATGGATCCCGTGGAATTGTCTCTTTTTGTCCCCCCCCACCAGTCTGACTGAGCAGGACCAGGAACCCTCCACCATTTCTAGAGGCATCCCCCTCCTCCACCAGCTCTCTCCCACGTCACCAAGATCCCTGCCTGGACCACTTCCCACCCCCCAGGGTTTGAAGGATGCCTCCCCAGGCTTTGTTGCAGGGAGAAACCTTCCCTGTCAGTGCCACTTAAATACAAATATAACAAGACATAGTGAAGATCTTAAGGCAATCACCCTGGCCATGGCAGGGGTGTGGTGACAAAGGTGACACCACCACGTTCAGGAAACGCTGAAGCATCAGTGGCCATCACCAAGGGCAGGAGGGACTCAGTGCTTACTTTTCCTTATTTTGAGCAATACCTGCCCTTTTTTTTTTTGCAGTTTCTATTTTAAAAAGGCCTCAATTTCACGGCGATCGAGCGCCGCACGCTCCCCAGCTGTAATTTTGTTACAGCTCGCTCCCAGCGCTGTGAGGAGCAATTACTGTCTCTCTGCCACCTTCCTGCAGAAGAGCTGACAAGGAAATACAATTTATTTTGTCACTATTCAGGGGAAAGAAAAAAAAAACAACACAAAAAACCACAACAAAACAAACCAAAGAAAAGGTACTTGGGCCAAGCACTTTTGGGCAACTTGGGGTTTTTAGAAGGACCCAGGATGGAAATGGCTCAAACACATCTTGCCTACCTGGAAAGCTCCAGCGGGGTGAGTTGAGCAGCCTTGGAAATGCGGGGAGCAGCCTGCAAATGCCCTATTTCTGTCCCCCTGAAAGCAATGACTACCCAAAACTGTAGGCTGAGGTCAAGGCTCACAGGAGTGACTACGTAAGGGCTCCCAGGCATCCAAACCCAGCCGCTCTTCCCGCCCGGCCCTTCTCGCCCAGCTGAATTATCCTCCCTGACTTGGCCTATTTTTGCTTTCTTCCACATGAAATGTTTTGGATCAGACGCAGACAGAGCATTACTGAGCCACGCTCATTCAAGACACGTCATCCTAAAAGTTCCTTTTTTCCTTTTTTTTTTTTTTTTTTACCTTCTTAAAGGTCCCTTTTTCCAAGCTTTTAGCCGCGGACACTTCAAAACTAACCATGTTAAGCTGTGCCTTTGTGCCCAGCTCTGCCCTGTGCCCTTTGCAGCAGCTTTCCTGACTAAGGCCAGGCACTGCAAATGCAGATTTTTTAGCATGTTAAACCACTTTGGTTCCAGCCCCTTTTTTCTCAGGGAAGCTGCCGGGCAGAGATGCCCACGCCGGCAGCTTTTACGTGCACAGCATCACCTCCACACTGAAGGTACTGTTGGTCTGTTCCCTGCTAGCAGCAATACCATCTTTGAAGCCTGGATGAAGGTGGTGTGCGCTGTTTCCTCCCCAGATTGTTGTGAAGGCCCAAGGCAAACGAGTTTCCCCTGCAACAGGTGTCCCAGATGGATACTCCTTTCCTGGGAGTGTTCCAGGCCAGGTTGGATGGGCCTTGGAGCAACCTGCTCTAGGGGAAGGTGTCTGCCCATGGCAGGAGATGGAACTGGATGACCTTTAAGGCCTCTTCCAACCCAAACCCCTCTGGGATTATATGAGTCTACAAAATATAGGTGGGTTTTTTCCACATTGCACATCAGTAGGCTATGAAACTCCCTGCTGTACGGCGCTGGGATGATCCAGAGGAGAAAGGAGTCCTAACAGCATTCAGACAAATTAACAAGTGGGGAATTCACCCAGGGCTGGACCACACTGCTCAGATACTGCCACTGGAGCAGGGAGTCCCTAATCATGGGTGGCAGAAAGCTGGGAGGGTGACAGAGCAGTCTGCATCGTTGCCTCCTCGTCCTGGTTCAGTGCTCTTCCCCTGAGCATCCTCCACTGCCATACAGAGGGCACAGGGACCTTTGGCTCAACCCAGTGTGGCCAGATGTTATAAATAAATTCAAAACCCCTCAGCAAAGGCTGTTCGGTCACTGACCAGCACTGACTCTGCCCTGCAGTGCTGAGGGTTTCAACTCTGGCCTCTGCAAGAGCTGGAAGGTGGAGATGCACCCTGGAAAAGAGAAATGCTGCGGCCCCTGCTCCCGTCAGCCTCCGGAGAAGCAAGGGGACAGCTTTGCCCTTCAGAGGTGGCATCTCTGACCATCCTTCCTCTGGAAGAAAAACACTCCAGGAGTAGCTGAAGCAGCTTCAGGAGGAAAGAGCCTCAAAGAGCCACAGAGGAAAGAAATGATCCCTCCTTTGCAGAGCAGGTTCAGGGATGGGCCCAAGCACAGACCGGCTCACGGCTAGTGCAGGATGGAGAGAGAGAGAGAGAGAGAGATGCCAGGGAAGGGCAAGGCTGTGGGAAAAACCACAGGGACAAGGATAGATTCTGTAAAAGTACTTGTGGCTCCTCCAGGCTGATGAAGTCTCTCCTCTAAGCCCAGCCTGACTTCTCAGGCCAACACCACAGCAGTTCAAAAGGACTGCCTTGGTTTAAAGCCCTCCAGATGCCACGTGCTCAGGGATTTGCAGGGAACAGATGTTACATGGGAACTGTGACTGTTTTTCTCCACCCCTGGTCAGACCACAGGTGCCAAAACTGGTGCAGAAAAGATGGGAGCTGAGCTAAAGCATCCCAATTCTAGCGAATCCACTTGATCACGTGATATATCCAACCCCACACCTTGTTCTCACGCCAGGAGGTTTCAAGGCATGGACCAAGCAGCTCTGCAGAGCCCAATCCCATGGAATAAGATGCCCCCTAAAATGCCTGAACCACCTTCTTACCCCATTCCAGACAGCCAGAGAGGCTGACTTATCCTCTGAGGCAGGGAAAAGCTCATTTGCCATCAAAAGGCATTTAAAATCCTACCTGCAATTGCTCTCATTACCCATTAAACACCTAATCCCTCTGCGAACCTGAGTAAGCTGCCAGCCTTTGCCACCCCTCCTGGCAATGACTCCTACGTGTCGATTAGGCACTTTGCAGGAAAGCTGTTCCATTTTTTTTTTTTATCGGATTTAAACATGCTGCCTTCAAAATCCCATTTAACAAGCCCGGGTCCTGCAGAAGGGTGAGCGTGCAAGCAGGCTGGCTGGCTGAGTTCCCCGGGGTTCCAGGGGGTATGGTGACCGCAGCACCACCATCCTGCCTTCACCAGCGCTCTGGAAAGTCTAGCTGTTGTTCTGCCTGGAGGAGAGCCACCAGCAAGGTTGGCTGTGCATGAGGGAGAAGGGCAGGAGCACCTGGAAAGAGGAGAGGGGAAGGGGAGGCGGGCAGGGGGACGCTGGGGTGGGTTTGCTCACCGGTGACCTCGTCCAGGCTCTCCTTGGTGACGTGGTCGTTCTGGTTGACCCACTCCCCGTTGCACTTGAAGTAGATCTGGGTGGCAGGGTTGGCGCGGCACACGAGCTCCACGGGCTTGTTCTTCACGATGTAGGCGTCCTGTGGCTCCAGCAGGAAGTGAGGGAGGGTCTCAGCCGGCGCTGAGGGGAAGGAGTCGGGCAGCACGTCGCTGTACTCCAGCCCTGCCGGGGGGGAGCCAGAGGGTGGGGAGGTGCCCTTAGTCCCATCCCAGCAGGTGTGCATCTCCTGCCCTTCCTGTCCTTCCCCAGGAGTGCCCTGCACACGGTGGTGTCACCAACAGACCGTGCTGAGGGTGCTTGGAAAAGCAAAGAGGGCTGGAGGCTCCCCTCAAAACCAGAAAAGCAAATCCCCAAATCCCTACTAGACAGAGAGCTGCGGGGTTCATCCTGTTTTTACCCAAGTACCAGCCCCTCACCCACACTCTGAGCCCAAAGCCTGGGTGATCTCACTAGAGGACACCACAAGGGAAAAAGCAGAGCAAACCCAGGTCCAGGGATGCTGATGGGGACACTGAGAGGCTCCACAGGGGCTGGTGTCCCCCACCCCAGGTCTGCTCCTCACAGCCCTGAGGAATGCACAGGTATGTTCCAGGCAAAATGCTGGCAGGGCTCAGTGCTGGGAATGCTGACCCTATCCCAGCACAAATCTCAGACATCCAGTGTGAGATCCACATCTTCAGTGGAGCTGCACTTGGGATCCCAGGCCCCTGTCAACACTTAGATTTCAGCATCACCACAACAGGTGAGAGATCGCTTCCAGCCTGGCCACCTCCAGAGAACATCACCCAAGGGTGCCACCAGGATTCACACTCTCCCACCCCTGAACCAGGGCTCAGTGACCTGGGGACCTCCATCTTCCTGCTTTTTTTTTTGCTTTCAAAAGACATCTAAATGCAAAAATAACCAGAAAAAGAGGTCAGGTCTGCTCAGGCCTGGCCAAGAAAAGTCTTGGAAACAGGTGAGCACCTCAGTGCTCGCACAGGGACATAATCCCTGAGGATTATGGGAACCTCAGGGTGGCTCATCCCCAGCAGCAGCTTGGGAAGATGCTGTGACTGATGCTGAGCATCATCTGCAGGAAGCCCGTTTCCAGCCATTTCACCCACTGAGATCGAACCCAAATATCACAGGACTAATAGAAAAATCCACAGAGGTGCACTGGGATGCCACTGCTTAACCTGTTGTTCCTGGGGAATCTCACTAGCAGTCAGGTCACATCACAAGGCTTTTCTTTACACCCAAAGGAGTTATGAGCTTTTCCTCCTCCTCTCTTCCCTCAGCCAGAGCTGTGATTCTCAACTCCAGGCACTGCAGCGTGCAGGAAAACAGTAAATATCCCCAGCCCCACGATAACATCTCCAGAGCTGGCAGGGAAAAGAAAGGAGCCCACTCCCTTCATCACCCTTGGCAAGGAACGGTGCTGCACAGAGAGAATCAGAATCCCAAGATGCAAGGAGGAGAAGGATGAAGAAGAGAAAAAAAAATAATATATATATATATAATCAGATGCATCAAGAAAACAAGATGACCAAGCTGCCTCCTGAACAAAAATCAGTGAGGGGAAAAAAAAATGCACGAGGTCAGTCGTTTAAAATCCATTTAGGAAAATTGACTTTCCATTTCCATTTAACACAGCACTAAGGGAGAGCGGTAGGACATTTGTCATAATCCATTAACTGCTCTTTTGGAAACAATGAATTAAACTCCGGGCTAATTTCTCTCTCTCTGGCTGGCTCTTCCCCACCTCTCTGCTGCTGGTTATTTCCTCCCCCATCTCGTTTGCAGTCCTGTGATTTTCCCCGGCCCTGCAGCGGGCAGGGGGACAGGGAATGCCGAGGTGTGAGCCCCCCACCCTGAGCAGTCCCACACTGCCCCCCGTGCCCACCTCAGGCCCCCGGTCCTGCTCCCCCTCTCCTGCTGAGCAGCCTCTTGCCTGTGTCCCACCAGCAAATATCCTTTATTTTTATTCTTATTCCTTTTTTAAAGTTACTACTCAATTTTTCATCCGCTCAGTTGTTGTTTTGTTGGTCGTTCGCTGGTTTTTTATTTCAAAAACCGCTTCGATGCCACAAATCTAAATTCCCTGGCAAAGAGGGCTGGCAGGAGATAATCTAACTGGCAACAGAGGCAGCCAACAAAACTTCACTCCTGGGCTCGTGTGAAAACCTCCCTGAAGTGATGCTCCCTGTGCCATGCAGCCTGCAAAGCCACACCTGATCTTCGCAGCTGGGAAAGGGCACAGACACCCTCCAAAAATCCACCTGGGGGCTTTGCTGGCCACCCATCCCCAGGGAAGGGGTGGCTCCTGGGTTTTGTTTAGTAAGAATGACCCACAAAGCGTCAGTGTCCCTAAGGAAGCCAATTTTCAGAAGGACCTTCCCCTATGGAGGTGACACCCCGAAGTGCACGTCCCTGATCCCAAACCATGGGCAAGGAGAGGTCCTCCTCCTTCCTCCTCCAGCAGTCAACACCAAAGGCATGTTTCCTTCCACCCCAGCACCACTTTGGTGACGCTCAACAAGACTTCAGGTCACCCAAGAGGATCTGGGAGCGGGGAGGGGATGAGTCACGGCTGGATGGGGATGAAAATGCCGGGTTTGTGACTCACCCGTGATCATCTGCGGTGGGATGAGTGATGCTCCAGGCCGTGGTGGGAGCCACCTTGGCCCCCCAGCACAGGGTTTGGGGCTGAAACACCCCCAGTGGTACCAAAAACCTGCTGGATCCCATCCGAGCCCCTGCTCCAGGAGGGGGGGGTCTGCTCAAATAAATGCTGTGGATCTCAAGCTCCACACCTCAAGGTTGTTTCCATGGAGGCACAGTGGCTTTGGGGACGAGGTTGATGGAATGGGATGATGTCCCCAGCCAGACCCATCATCTGCTTTTGGTGGCTATAAAAACCTGCTTAATTTAAGGTTTGAACCCAAAACACCTGAACCTTTAAAGCAAAAAGGATCTTGGCTGCTGGAAAAGTTTAAATCCTGCGAACTCACAACATCTGAGAGATCTTTTGTTTCTGGCCAAGAGAGATCTGGGGCCAAAAAAGCAGCTCTAACAGGAGACAGGGGAAAAGGATGATGGTTTTTTTGTGGCAGACTCACAACTGGGTCCATGCCACGGAGTCCCAGCCCTACAGATCCCTCAGGCTCATGAACAGGAGCAAATCAAGGGGGAGGATGATTCCTCCATCCAGAAATCCAGCTGGAAAAAAAAATAAAAAAGCATGTGCATCTGGGCAGGGCGTTTTTCTCCAGGATGATACGGCCACTAGTATTTAAACGAGCTGGGGAAGAATTAAGGCATAGGAACAACGGGGACTTTGGATGAGAAAAGGGAGGAGAACCATGCTGGGCACATTTATCATAAGCCATCAAGCCAGCCTTTCATCCCCCTTCCCCACGCCCGGCCACCCGCCGCATGGGAAACCTCTCTCTCGGCTAACACGCACGGGGGGGGTCCCCAAAAATTCCACATACAGTCGGTGGGGTGGGGGGGGGAAACACGGCTGCTTGTGCCATGTGGAGGAACAACTGCTGCTCTTTTCCTGCCCTGACTATCCTGCACCAACTGCAAAACACCTCAAAAATAAAAGCACTTTCCCGGTGGTGCAACCCCTCACCTCCACAGAGGCCACCTGTGCTCTGGCCACCCGAGGTGGCACTTCGGCCCACCGACCACAGGAGCAGCACGCACAGGAGGTGCTTTTGCAGGGGAAAGCAGGAGAGGAGCCCTGCACAGCCGGGATTTCCAGCCCCGCAATCAGACAAGCAATAAAACTCCCAGCAGTGACAAACTAATAAATATTTGAGCTCGCGCGTGCTCCGCTGACTGCGATCATCGTCTCCCTGGCAGACGTCTACAGGGGGTTCCCATCTGCTGGCTTCCCTCCTTCCCACTGGAGGTGGGTGCCTGCTTCCCAGCTCTCCTTTGGGTTTTAGTTTGTTGGGTTGTTTTTTTTTTTTTTTGGAAGTCCCAGGCTGTCACCATCCCACAGTCTCACACGGTGTTACGGGCCGGATGTGGAGCCTTCAGTACTCGAGATGGATTTTTGGAGGGGAAAAGGCAAGGTGGGGGCCACCTCCACCTGTGGGACCAAACCCCTGAGGCCTGGAGGATGAGGGTGTTGGGAGCAGCGAGGCGGGAAAGGGAGGAGGAGGGGAATAGGCACCGAGGACTTCTTTCCTCTCCCCATCCCTCATCACACATTTTAATCCGCCGGGGGTGAGCTGGATTATCCGCAGCATCTGTTCCCTGGGGGGTGATCTGCAGATGTTTGCAGCCAGTGCTTGCAACTCGGTGGAAGATCGAAGATCCCAAGCAACCCACCCACCCCCTCCACAGGGAGCAGCTCTGGAGCCGGGAATCCAGCCTCACCCTCCCTCCATCACCCCAAACCTCGGCACAGGGGATGGCAAGCCCGAAAAGCAATTCCCCTTGGAAAGCAATTCCCTTTGCAGCAACGGCCTGAGCAAACCTCCACAGGAAAGCGTTAAAATCCTCTCTCCTGCAATTGTTATCCCTCCAAATATTTGGAAGATTACAGGAGCATTAGTGGCTGCCCATCACCCACAGCCACCATCCCTCCCTCCCCCGTACCAGGCCGGCAGGGATGCGATGTAAGGATGTAAGGATTAAGCTGGGATGCCTGGGTTCTCCGGCTGGGTTTCTCCAGCTAAATCTCAGTGGCAGTGGACACTTAACCCCTTCTGTCTCCACCTCCCCCCATTCCCACCCGCCTCAGGGCAAGCGCTGTTTCCTGGGAAGGCCTGGGAGGCAATGGTTAAACCTGCCAGGTGGGTTAAAATCCTCCTGTAGAAATGAAAAAAAAATATATGGCAGCTTATCTCCAGCACCACAGGAGGAGAGTCATCTGACTTCCCAATCCCCCTTCCCAATCCCCCAGCAGGGATGGGAATGGCTCTGGCTCCAGAGACCGAGATGGAGGGGATGCTCTGGCCATGGGCTTGGCTCAAGGAGGTGTCTGAAAGGCTGGAGTGGGACTCCCCCCCTCCTCAGATTCCCCCTCCTGTGGCCTTCAGGGACAACCTCTGAACAGACTCATTTAGGGATTAGTGCTGTTGCCACTTATGCTCCAGCAGATTCCCACGCTGGAGCCACGGCGTGGCTCACTCCCACCCCAGAATGCCTGCCCCACTGAGGGC